AATATCTTGAATTCTTAATAAATTTATTTTCTTTTTTGATTGAAACTTTGAAGTCGGCCTATCATCTTTTGTAGTTCTTAAATATCGTCCAGATCATTAATAAAGCTGTAGTATTATAGCCACGGTGTTTTACTTTTTACCTATCTGCTTGCCTCTACCAACACTTAAACCAGACATACCTCGCATAATTATACATAATAACACAAACACAGGAGCACTTACTGGCTATTAAAATTATGAAGAGTCATACATTAATTGGGATAGCGAACTACTTGTATATACTGTATATTGTTGCATTTTACGACAATATACGCGTGATTATGACTTGGCAAATTTTTTTAATATCTAATTAGCTGAAACATGGTGCCTGGTGCGTAGCTCAAGAACCTGGGTGAGTCTGAGATATAACAACAACTTCACCTCCACAACCATCAAATACTTGTACAACCACTAACAACATCTACAAAATTCACTAGTTCTGCTACTAGGTTACATACAGACACTAGTACTCGTTTGCATGTAGTACAGTATTTTATTATGTAGCTACGTATGTTTCGCTGTATATATATATCTAAACAACAGCCAAATGATCCCTTGATGTGATCCCACTTGGTTTAAAATCGGTTCCCTGATGGACTACTACCCGAATGTTTCCTTGACTTTGTGATTTTGGGTCTACCTAAAAGACTCCAAATTGACACAAATACTATAGAATATCGACTACGGAGGGCAGGTGTCTATAAAAGTAACCCTCTAATGTCCATTTAGCGAGGAACTCCAGCAATTCCGACTCTGGGAAAAGCTGGGGACCAATACTATACCAGAACTAAAGACAACTTGAATATCTGACTGCCATTCCAACAAGACACGAATGGCAGATCTCAGAGAAAACATCTAATATGCTGAACAAGATGGAAGATATAAATCCAGTCACTTCCTCAATTTGTCGAATGTTACACAAGTATATATATAAAAAAAAAAAAACACGACTGCCGAATCATCAAGCAGAACTGACTACAGGAAGTACTTCTCTCAGATTAACGGGACATGTTCCCTGAAAATTCAAAAACTTGTACTGACCCCAAAACCCTTCACTGCCCGCAGATTTTATTTTATTTATTTATTTGTTTTTGTTTTTACGGGGTTAGTCCACCCGGTCACAGGTCACCCAAAAATGTGGCCAAGTCCCAGGTTGATGATCTGACTTTCTGCCTCATTTACACACAATTGCAGGGTTTGTTTCTCTTGCTTTGACAACACAACATACATATATCGTTTCTCACTATTGATTTCTCTTTCATCTTCCCAGGCGGTAGTCATAAAGAACTCTGAAAACCTCATCTCCTTTTCGAATTCCAACACACTACTGAGGCATTTTTTTTATTATATTTTCCCTAACATAAATGAATAATTCTTGAATATACAGTCGGTAAGTTTTTCAACGAGTTTTAAAAGCATAACCGCTAGCAAGCTTACGTATGATCCCCACCTTTGATACCGATGAGAAACATGCTGCATATTCTGGTCAATGTATCAAGGTAGCGCAAGAACAAAATTATAGCGGGAGTGACGTTAAGAGCAGTTAATGGTATGGCTGTGAGGCTCTCGTACACTGGTACCAGGGAAGGGTCAGCCTCGCCAAGCCGCCTATGGGATCACGGGCTAAAAATGGATCATGCACACCTCCAGGCCAAAAATTTGTTTTCCGATTTCCTTCACCCTGAGTGGCACCACCTGTAATCCATTCTTTTTATTATTGTTGTTATAGTGCAGGTACTCGAGGGCAGGAAATAAAAACTGCTAGCTTCAACAGACGTCCGGGTGCCGGGGTCGCCGCCTAGTAAGTGGCACTGTTACAATAAAAACTGGTTTTTGATAGGGAGGAAGACGTAGATCTCTGGTTACCAACTGATCTTGCCACGCTACACGCATTCACTGTGTTTTCTAACAATAGGCGACTTGCTTTACTAAAATTAAAAATAAACAGAAAGACTCAAGGTGGCGGAACTATTTATTATCTGCCGAAAAAAAAGGCTGGAAGTAATAATCAAGTTTTTCCAGGGGGTTCCCCAGCGGCCCTGATGATGACCCCCAGACAGAAGGGCTTAAAGGCAAGAGATCCTACCTGACGAATTAATGATCCAGCCAGCATCACTACAGTTTTTCATCATGTCTATAAGGAGGAAGCTGCCACATCTTATGTGTTCTGGACAATACAGGTTGCCAGTACAAATTAACTCTAAGAAGACAAGTAGCTACGTCTCACCATTTTATACTAAAAAAAATTGCTGAGCTACACCAGTTGTAATAAATCGTGGACGATTGAACGATAATATAGACATATAGGTTGGTTACTATTGGGCTCTTGTCTGATGCAGGGCAAATAAATATAATCAAAGAAAGACGACACATCCCCCGAAGCAGGGGAGGTTACAAAACTCTGGCAAGTGGAATTTTGACTGTAAATCCTCACAAATTCGGAATATTTTTTTTTTTTTTTTTTTGTGTGCGAAGAGATTATGTAAAATGAAGGTGTTTAATGGACCTCGGTGCATTTGCATTAATCTTCAAATCTGAGTTGCTTCTGAGAACTGAATACTGTACGTGTTTTATTTGAAGTACAGTAAACCAGCTCGATATCAGCAGTCAACATCAGATGCTGCATTATCACCGACCGGTCTCTTGTTGACACGTACCAATTATGTCTAAGGTAAAGTATCCTGGTAAACCCTGTATCGTGGACAGTTGGCACAATATATTACGGAAGTATAAAGAACAAAATATCAAGAACCACAAAGAAGAATGTGAAGGCTTAAAAATGCGACGTGATGTAAGCTCAGGCTTGCCTAGATCAGTTTAGACTTAACGGGAAATAATTATCTAGTCGATGACAGCGTTTTTCACTCACATTTTTAACAATGACAAACTCTTAAGCTGAACACGTCTTCGTTAGGAGATTGATAAAGGAACATTTAATATTTTGGTGAACTTCTGTGTTTTAATATTCCGTGGAACACAGTCGTTCTATTCACAAGTTAAGTGAAATTAAAAACATTAATAATAATCCTGGAAACAAAATAGATATTGGTGTAGAAAGAATCAAATAAACCAAGTCATATACAGCTTACTGTGAGGTACAAAAAATCACTTAGTAAGAATTTCCACCACAGCTTATTTCACTTAAAGGTTAACCACACTAAGGCTAACCTAACCAATCCTAATTTAACCACATCCCTGAAGTGATTGGTTAGGATATTACGTTGGTTAAAGCATGAGGCTAGTTAAGAAATTAGACAGCCGTGTGAAAGCAGCTAACACGTACAGCATTTAGAAATTATATACCTCGTGTACACACATTACTTCGAATACAAAAGCACAGGGTACTGTATACACACGTATGGCATGTATACCTGTACAATAAAAGAAATAACTAGTTATTGTGACCCAGTCCACTATATTGTCACATTTGTCTTAAATATTACCAACGGGTTTTATGTGTAAATCAGTGTTATTTTTTTTTCTACTAAAAGTAACATGTATATGATTAAAGTAGGTCAGATATTCTACAAGAATGTACAGTAACTACGAGTAATTTCGAGTTATCTTTATATCTTCTTCGTTCTACAGGACCCAAAACGTAATTGGTATTATTTGACGTCAACATCCTTGGTAACCAGGTTTTATTGACTTCACTAATAAGATCTGTAGTTTAGTAAATACTGAAAAAATCGGGTAACGTATGAGAACACTGCTACCACCAGAAGTTGTTCGATTTCGTTCAATCTTTTCACAGATGTTATCATTATAGGAAGTACAGTATTTTAAAGGAGGTGGCATTTACTATATCCTGAGCTAACCAACCAAAGAAACCTACCAAACCTTACCTAACTTCTTAGCCGAGGGTCTCCGCAACCGTTGAAAGGGTTAAACAGAAAGTAATCATTTTGATATCTAGTACCAATGACAGAACCTTTGTTGAAGCTCCGGGTCAGTTGCAAACAAACAGACAACGGCATATTTTTTGGAAGTGTTTACTATAGATATCAATTTCTTCAAAAAACAAAGCACGTAGAGACATTTTAGTGTTATATGATTGTTTTTCAACGTGTTATATCCCGCAATTTCCCCCATCCTCCATGCCCTGCCCACTACAGATGATTTATGATAGTAGAAAAATATATACTTATTAAAATAAAAACTTGTCGCCTCTTTTAAAATACTTACTAAAATGATAAGAGCATCTCTGGAAAAATGAACGAAATCGAACTGGTGGGGGCGATGATCTGATAAATCACCAAAAATCAGTGGCACTTTGTGAATATATAACTTAGCTTACAAATAAATTACAGTAGTTATGTAACCTCTAAATGAAGCATAGTCTTTTTAATATGGAAACTACGACAATTCAACCTCTGTAAATGGAACGGATAAATTTAACGAGCTTTTGGCATCGGAACAATTTTAGCAAATGGCCAAATGCACAAAAGCATGAAACGGATAACTTTAGGTTACATACAACTTACAATTACCAGACACAGCCTACCGATCGCTATATCCCCTACCAACCAATGTAAAAATAAAAAAGGTAATAAATATGGATCAACACATTATTATTCAGTGTTACCATATTTTAAAACTAGAAATGAATCGTTAACAAATAATTCTCATGTTATGTATTTTCTTAACATTTTTATTTTCATATTCACATCCAACTTAAGATTCTGTGAAAACTGTTGTAATCTTGTTCTTCACAGGACGAGACTCCCACACGTGTATGTATTTCCTGTCACTTTCGCTCAGGATATGACACACTCACTCCTCGAATGTTAACTATTTTACTTATCAAAAGCGAAAGCTCAACTATTAACATTATTAGAGAAAACACTACAAGGAGTAACCTTGATGCTTTCTCTTAACACATTATATTTGGTTTATCCAATTATCAGAGGTGCTTCTACCATCAATCCAACTCATAAAAAGTAAAAATAATTATTACTTACCACATAGTGTATCAGTAAGCACCACACAACGAACCACCAGCAACAATGGTCCACACAACTCCTCACTGCCACCCCTTCCCTTACACTTTACAAGGCCAAACACTTGTTGATGGTGTCATTAACTATAGGCGTTCCAAAACCGTCGTAATTTGTCTTTGGTTATTCTTCAGATGTTCTTATAACACATGGCACAATCTATCTCTTCCCAAGTGGCTTTCACAAGTAGGCAATAGATGGTCTGAAACACCACCATGTGTATAACACCGTAAGCTACCAGGACCAGACACACTCAGATACTGACAGTCTGAAACACGAGAGTTTAGTTTACCCACCAGGGCCACCAGTCTGGGAGCGCGACGCTCGAGTTGTCAGGTTGTGTTTTACCGAGCGATGGTTGTAATATTAATATTATGACGTCTCTTGTGCCTTTGAGTAAGTTTTGTATTCTCAAGGGCTTAGTAAATACTGAAAACAATTATTATGTTATAAGTGTAAAATAAGGTACGAAGGGGACCCTACCAGGGGAATACTTGAGTGATAATTATGTTGCTGTAAAGAAGAGATATACATATGAAAATGTTTCTAAAACTTGTCATAAATGTCTCGTGCATTCAACGAGCATGACATTTTGATCAAGTAAAACGTATTTCTACACATAAGTGGCAACTACTACAGATACTACTAGTACCCTGAGCAGGTCAAATATAATTATTACAATTTACGTGCCTAAGTACACCTTATATATTTGATGTTTGTGAGTTATATCAAGACATTTTTCTTTAATATTGTAAGACATGATTTTCTTAAAAACATCTTCCATTTTCATCAAATATAGTGGCGCATATTAATGACAAAAAATACAAATAAAATGTCGCACTTGGTCACTGATAGCCAGTTTTTATAAGCTCCACCCAAAATGCTGGTGTGCCAAGTCTCAGTGTGGGCGGGTAGGGTCGCTATGTGCTTTGTAAATTCATAGAAAAAAAATACATAATAAAATATTGCATGCACACTCCAGTACGTAATGTACTTTGTGGCTCTTTTGCATTATCTTTTGAGACTGCTTTTTACAGGTGCAGTGGGAAGGTATTTCCTTGCCTCCCTCCCCACACGGCATTACTAACTTCAGCCACGATAGATGAGTATGAAGACTTTAATTGACAAAAAGTAGACGAAGAAAGCTAATAGCTGAGAGTTAGACGAAATGAGATTATACAGAACTTGTCTTAAGAAAACTGCCTTATGCAGCCATACTCTCGCAGGCATAGATATTTACTCTGTAAAATCATTATACAAGTACACATTGATACAGCACGTATAAAGACAATGTAGGTATACAAACAATGTACCGAGTGAGTCGATTTAACCAAAGATAACCTAAGAAAGATGCTAAAAACTTATTTCCACTGAGGTTCTTATACGGAGTACGTACCTGCAGCACCATTGTAGTCGGGACGGAAAAAGGACATTGATATGTTAGAGCCTGTTTCTTATGTTCAGTGTCCTCGCTCCTGCGGAAGTATCATGCAATTGTTTTGTCTTGACCAAGACTTCACGTATACAGTATCCTCATGTAATGTTTAGGTGCGGTTTTGCATCAACATTGTCTTTTAAAGATGTCATGGAACCTGTTCCCGACAAAACTGAAGTCAAAACGAAAACGTAATGGATGAATTATAAAAATAGAAAAAGAGTAGAAACAAGTCACCAAAACAACTTGTAAGGAAGACGTGACTTGACACTAGCGATGATAAATTTTATTCATTGATACAGTTTATCAAGTGATTTTTATTTGATCTTATTTCAGTAGAATTTAATTTTTGATTTAACTCCATTTATATTATGAAGAAAAAAAAATTTCTTATCAAAGAACTGAAATGTCAGCGTTTTCATAAGAATTAGTTACCATGGAGACCAGCCTTAAAAGCATGTCACACCCCACTGCTCTACACGATAAAGATATTGGTATAACAATATATTCTCATCACATGTGGGTGCCATCAGGCTATTACTTAATACATCCCAAGGGCAGAGGTCGTATTATTTGAAGCTGATCTTGATCTTTTATTTTGTCTGGTTAAACGTATTCAAGACCAGACTTGACCAATATTCTGAAGTCACTGTGCATACCAAGTATTTTACTTACCAACTGTGGGTAATAAAGACGTGACCTACCGTCCACACGAAAAGCATTTATGCACAATTTGCAACAGCTTCCGAAATACATGGAGCCTGTGGACGAAATCATACACACAAAAAAAAATCAGAGCCCAGAAAAAAATTAAATCGGAGGCGAGATGAAAAAAAAAAAATTCGTCCTTGCCAACATTGATATGATATTTGACTATTAAAACAAGTTGACGTTAAACTGAGCTACTCTTTCTTGTTCTGTACTCCGTGAAATATTGTTTTTGTTTACGGGAACTGAGAGCACCCTGGAGTACAATAACTTGCCATAATGTCATACGTTTACATGCTGTATATATATAACTTTCCGATGGCCAAATAAATTGTTTTGACAATACTTCATCATACATTTGAGTTCCCACAATGATCATCTCAAAACCTGCCATGACAACTTTAAATGTAGCTTATGTATGGCGCATTTCAGGCCCATCCCACCGTTGACCAAGGATCAGTGGTGTTTTGAGATTACTCTTGTGGGTTTGTGGAGGTAGAATGAAACTCCCGGGTGTTGCTGATAAAGTCTATTAGATATTCATAATATAAAACTGTACATGGGCTACAGCAGCAGGTGGGTAATGTTTGCGGAGGGGTGGGGGGGGGGGGTTGGAAAGGGGGTGGATGTCCTCCTACACAGCGGAGTCACGTGTGCACCAATATTTATTCGCTCTTACAAAGGTGTGGTTAACAAATACACTCATTTCGGAAACAGTGCACAAAGTACACTAATAATTTATAATGCAGCAGTCTTCCTAATAATGCTAACTTCGTCTTAGGGATGTAGGTCGGTCACTTAATTGTAAATAAATTTGAGGACAATCTTTCCTAGAATTATTTATATGACTGTTAATATTCTTATTCCTTCATAATAATTCTTCAGGCACACAAAACATTTCCGTGTTCTTATTACCCAAGTAAGTCTCTTTCTCTGTCTCTCTCATATTGTTTGCTTCTCTATCTCTCAATCTATGCCAAGTCTCTCATCCCGAGGGAGTGAAGGGCCTCGGTATTACACTGTCATCAGAGTTCTGCCCCCATTTATTACACAATACTTCCTTATAATTATCTCACTTCCACTACCGGTTGACGACAATACCTCAGAAAACAATGGAAGCTATTTTTAAGCTGAATCTCTCTCTCTCTCTCTCTCTCCCTTGTTCGTTTAGACATAGCTAAAATTACTGACAATTTCAGTTCTAGAGTCTATTACAGTTACAAATAGTTAGTTGACCTTGAATGAAATAAATAATAAAGGAATTGAATAATATACAAATTATATATATAGTACAGTATACACAAACATATCTACACATCACCCTGGCGCATTTGAAAACACAACCCCGCTAATACAATAAATGTGTTCCTGTTTCACTCTTACCATTCACGTTGTGCATCATGATTAAATGGTTCGGCGGCCGGGTGGACAGAGAGCTTACCTCTTCTATCCTCTAACTGCAGGGATAGCTTGTCACTAAGTTTGTGCCCAGGGAACTCCTAGTCGATCCAACTGTGAAGGCTCTTTTGTTTTACAGTTGCGGGTGTAATGGCAATCGAATGCAAAACCAGCTACATTGCCTCCTTGTATGCTGCCACTTGTGAGCCGTCCAGTGCATGGTACCGGTACGCACTCTCAGTACAGTATATGAAAAGCGATGCCACCGAACACCGGCAGCTAGATACTGTTGTTACTATGAGTTCACAATTTACACCAACAGTCCTGCACAGAAGTTAGTGTCCTCTGAACTGGTTTTGACTTTCAAATATTGTATCATCAATTAAATCTCCAGCGGAAACATCTGCATTTAAAACTGGATGAAAGCAAGGCAATATGAAGGTGCAAGGGATACAGTAATAAACGGAAGAGTTGAATAGATAAATCTCATATAACACCTAAAAAGCATATAACTGGAAAAACTCATTGACGGTTGGTGTAATAAAATAGAGGTAGCAAACCGCAACATAACTGGAAATAAGTTAAGTTTAGGTAAAAATTACCGTCGATAGATAAGACTAAAAAGTCGTTATTTGGTATTGAATATATCGATAAAAGATTAAGACCTGTAAATTAATTCCCTGAGATATATTGCGAGTTAATCGATGAATGAGCTTATTATCGCTAATTCGGTATAAAATAATTAACTTAAGTAGCATTAGTCAGTTAATCACACAGTACGGTCTTCATTGTGTTCTTCTCAATTTCGATTTACTGCGATCCAAGACAGAGCCAAACTTGGGCAATTATAATAATATTGTAGATTCTAATTAACTTACGGGGAAAAACATTACGTGGTGGTGGATATGTTTACTTCCTTATATATAGTAAACAGGACCTGTATGACTTAGAGACAGTTGTGCATGTTAGAATCGAATTGGTTGAGGATAAACTTCTCACCAATCCAGTTTATAGACATACGAAGGTGAAATTTAAAATTAATATATAGATTATGTAAATTTTCTTGTTTTGTCTTTGTGGTATGATCTAAGCCACTTGTAAATCCTTCCCGTTTACTTTACGAATTTTCATACTGATAAATGTTAACGTTGATCAAATTAAACTATTGTTAATTGGTAAGATTTATAAAGTTAATATCTTTAGTTTCTCTTTCATACTCAACAATTCCTCGATAAAAAAAGTGCATTTCTTAAAACAAAAGATGTTCAGAAGATAGTTTTTCTGCCTCAGATATCTTCCGGGATATATTCCATCATCCCTAAAGACCGTAGCCAAATGAATTTAACATTAAGTTTTTGTCTCATTAAAGCGACCACAGACAAAAAAGCGCCAAATAAAATAAAATCGGGAGTGACGATGGAACGATACTGCCTGGCGTGGGCGAGAATAACTTAATGTGTTTATTACAACTTGCTGCGCTGACGGGGCGGTGAAGAGGGTGGTGGGAGGTGGAGTGGGTGGGCAATATGGCGGGGAGGCGGAGTGGGTTGTATGGAAAATCCTGCTTTTTTTATCTCTAAGTTGCATATATAAGCCTTGATATAATTGCATAATACGGAGTAAATATTCTATATTTATATAGAGGTCGTGGAAGAGCTCAGTCTATCAACTAATACTAAGCTATATCCTTTAACAATTGCTCTCTCACCTGGTCAAGTAAAGGATAAGGGTGATGGGGGGGAGGGGGGGGGGGGTATATCTTCCCCTGTTGCCCTGAAGTAAATAAAATAAGGGTCGAGAGATCATGCTCCCCTTACCTGGGTATAAATATGATTTTATTGTGGTCAAGGTAAACAATAACTGCAAGAACATTTTACCTAAAGTTTTCTGCACAAAAGAACAAAGTTATCTACGATGTCTTTTGTGTTTTAGTGGATATTATTATTGTTGGAACTGATACTAGACTGAATTTTACGTGTTTTATGTTTCTTGAAGATGTCAGTAAGGGTCAGTATTAATCGGTAGTGTGAGTCAGAGCCGCAGATAGTTTGGCCATCCAAAACACAGACGAAGGAAGATCCAATATCTTCCTGGTATACTAAATTATTATCATCCAGTGATTTTTGCTTTGCACTCAGGCAGAAAAGTCTTGCTGTTTTGTGTGGCTGCTTGAATATATTTAGTGATTTACAGATAATAAAATTTTGCAATTTGTCCTTTTTAAATGGGACTTAGCAAAGTTGGCCATGCTGTTGATTGTAAATAATAGATATTCTTTATTTTTATTGAGTGGCTTTTGACGAATTCTAATTCACACACAAGTAAGTATATATTCTCCACTTCTCATTCATTAAAGTTATTGAGGACGAATCTGTATTACATCTCAAGGCCCAGGTAACGGCTCAGACAAGATGTGTAGAATTATGTGTATCTTGTGCAGTTGTGCAACAAAACCACGATAAAAAACCCAACCAGGTGGCAAAACAATGGACTGACTTATTATTCTTGTAAACACCGCCACAGCATGGGCCGTGTTGGTGACTTACAAAATACGGTTGAACCACATCATCTAGCATGGCGGAATGTGCAAATGTTTTAGTAGATTAGTGCGCGCGCGCACGCACACGCACACACACACACACTGTCTCTCTCTCTCTATATATATATATATATATATATATATATATATATCCTCTGTAGATGACGTATAGTACAGTGATTTACAGATTGATCTTTCACAATACACAACACTGTACTAATGAGGTCTGCCACATCCGGGTCAAGTAAACACATCCTACCCCAGGTCTCCGAATGCCAGTTATAAGTTATTGCTGGCTGGCTGTCTCTCAAAAAAATTTCATTTCAAAGGCGACAGAGCCAATTTATCCTTCATTCGATAACCTAAAATTATGTTTCACTAAATCCTAATTTTTTTACATCATTACAATAAGCTTGTCAGGCTGAAAGAAGACTCAATAAGTTATAATCACTGATGAGCCACATGAGTTGCCGACTCAAAGAAATTTTATTATTCCAAATGACAGAATGTCCTAATTTAGTGGATTTTCAAGTCTGGAGCTTATACGAGGGGCTTATATGTGTTGAGTGTTTGATCAGTTGGATTATCTGGTATGGCTCGGGTGCCATTGACCGAGGCTGATTCTCCTCTTAAAAAAAAAGACGACCCAATTCAAAATGGCACCTGAGTTCTACATCACTAGCAGATACTGTACACAACTGGCTGACACCCATGTCTAACAGCCCCCTATGTCTTGTGTATTATCACTACAACTCTCCCAGCGACAAGATCTATCCAATAAAGAATAAACTATACCTGTACATGGTGAGCTCCGTATCTGAAAATCCCCTAAAACAGATGATTCTGGCAATGTAAGGATAGATAAAGCATTTTTGAGTTTGTGCTCATATCAGGCACTGGACGACATTACTTCCTATGATTTTTGGATCAATTTAAAGTTAATTCTAATGGTATATACCTGTATTTTAATTTGTAGGGGCTTCATCGACACCAAAAATGGGCTTTTTATTAAGGATCAAATGTCCAAATGACAACTAAAAATGGGATCAAAGTGGCATTTTTGTGAGAAGTACAGTAACCCCTAACCCAATGGTACACAATTCATACTTGAAATCTGTTAACTTATTAACTCAAAACACACTGTACAGTACATCCAACTTAAGGCATAGTGTGTTCTTTCTGTTGTCACAATGTTAAACCTTTGTCACAATGTTAAACCTTTGTCACAATGTTAAACCTTTGTCACAATGGGTGTTAAACTCGTCATAATGTTAAACCCTTGTCATAATGTTAAACCTTTGTCAACAAACAACCTTTGTCACAATGTTAAACCTTTGTCACAATGTTAAACCTCATCATCAAGAAAAGTAAATTGAAAATGTCTAAATAATAATAAAAACACTATGGCACCGCTACTGATACATGACCAGGTGTGAGGCTCAACAGGGATATGGCTAAGACTAAGCTTAACTCTAATACTGACTCGTTGTGCTGTAATCTGCAAGAAGAACACGTGATGCTGGTGATCCCTGATGGAATAAGGGGAGTACAGTAAATACTCAGGTAACAAGGTTATATAGTTTAAAAGAGATTGCCCTCCAGTTACCACCAGTGCAGTAGTGTTAAAGTATGACCTAGAATATGACTCTGAATAGTACTACTGTATACTCAATCCAAAAAAGTATCTTTACTATTTCGTGTGAGACAATATGACACAACGGACGAAGGATTTTGACAACCCTACCGAGACAACAATTTAAAATTCATCTGACCTTCCGTAAAGATACTTTTTGGAGCGAGTTTACACCAAAGTTGCTTACACCATAGAAAGAATCATACTGCTGAACGGCACAAGCTGGTAACAGAGAGCAACGCCATTAGTTTGAGCAATACAACACTAAATCTGATATGCTTTAAAGCTGATTTAGAACAGGTCATTAAAGGAGTGAAGAACATGCATAACAGGAGCTACATTTCCATCGGGGTTAAGCTGAGTATGGTTAGGGAGCTGTTTTATATATCTCTATATTAAGTGCTAACAGGTAACAGAGTCAGAGTTAAGACTTTGTAAATTGAGAATTGCATATAATATATATTGGTATGTTAATATAACTCATCCAGTGGTGCAGCCAGAAGGAAGGAAGGAAGGAAGGAAGGAAGGAAGGAAGGAAGGAAGGAAGGAAGGAAGAAGGAAGGAAGAGGAAGGAAGGAAGGAAGGAAGGAAGGAAGGAAGGAGGAAGGAAGGAAGAAGGAAGGGAAGAAGGAAGGAAGGAAGGAAGGAAGGAAGGAAGGAAGAAGGAAGAAGGAAGGAAGGAAGGAAGGAAGGAAGGAAGGAAGGAAGGAAGGAAGGAAGGATGAAGGAAGGAAGGAAGGAAGGAAGGGAAGAGGAGAGGACTTGAGACTATATTTGGAGTTGTCCTAAATGGATTGGGTGATTCCCTTTCTTCTTGAACTCTACTCCAAAATGACACATCATCTACAAAACTGTATTTCCAACCAATTTCATAATACCTCATCAATTTCTACCCTATCAACATCTGACCCCCCGCCCCCCTTCTGGCTACACCTCAGCATCAACCTTTAGTTCATCTTGAAAATATATTGATGTATGGTAATAGAAGATGCATTTTCCAGCGACTGAGGTTTTTTTTCTTGACAGAGAGTAAGCTTACAATTAATTTTCTTTTTGGCACTTCATACTAGGAAATGCATCATAACATCATCTTAAAATGTGAAAATGACCATCGTTTGGGCTTCCCCTTGGTTATTCATTTAAAAACAAGCAACTACTGTCATGAGAAAACGGTATACAGTAAAAATGATCTTTGCTGATATCAAAGCTGTTGGTTACCTCACCTCTAAATACTGGCTGAGGGTCTAACAAAAGCTTGGTTGAGTACATGAGATAATGCAGATCATAAATTTGGACATCTTAAAGCGCACAACTTTAATTACTCAGTGTTTTTTTTGGTAGATAATAACCATGTTGTGAGTTATTCATACTTGTAAGCTCTTTAGAACAGACGTTACATGAGTCAAAGAATAGAAGGCTCCTCTCTAGCTAATGTATATATAATGGTATATGGTTAACATTCAGGTATGCATAGATACTGTTTGTGTGTGTTCAACATTCTGAATTATACACAGATTAATAACTGGAGATTTATTCACCCACAGTTTGTTACAAATATGAAGGAAGTTGTGTTTTGTAAGGCAATTTTTTTTAAACTAATTAAAGACGTACGTGTGTGTGTGTGTGCACTATATTTAGGCTGTTTCTGCTTGTGTATCTGAGATGGTTTAGGAACCTGAGCTTCTAAGAGTAAGACCATATGTATAACTTGGGCTGAGCAAGGGCATCAATTTCGTCAAACACTCAGCTATTGCTCGCGAATAACCTATATACAGGTCTCCTCCCCACTGTCACCAGCGAGGGAGACAATGGCTTAGTTAATATAACAATTCAACAATAATGAAAATGGTACAGCCTTAAGATTACAATACAGTATGCAGTATAATTAAAAATACGGTGAAGTGTGATGTCCACTCTTCATTTACCTTATTACACTTTCTCAATAATTGCATGTGACTAATTATAATCTTCATTACCCAGGACATAATACATAACAGCGTCACATGTTTAAATGCACTCAATATCATAGTTATAACATCGACTGTATGAGGATTTTTACAGTTTATGTATCAAACTCCAGATGTTCCTGCATTTATTATAAGCTAATTGAGCAAAAATTTATTAAATTTATAACCTAGTTCAGTTAATGGTTCTGACTTTTAAACTACAGCACTATACATTCTCCTGGTTAATGTTCCTTTATCCACATCCATCACAGTGTAAATTCTCTAGAGACAAAATCTTGCATGATTATGTGCTGGATAATGGAGATTGATCTTTCTTAGATCATACAAGCTTCACGAGTGGAGTCACCCAGCAATGATATTACCCAGTAATTTGTACTCTCACATAGAGGTTCCAATGATCACACACCCCAAACCCGATACTTCACCACAAGTGACACACCAGAAAGATAATACTGTACAGTATTTTCATGAAAGTACTGTGTGCAGAACATGAAAATGAGACGTCACGAAATATAATAACAGTTCAATCTTTATGCCATAACAATGCTTGTGTTTATACTCTATGGAAGTGATTTGTACTGTACTGTAAGTATATGTGAGTGCGAGTATTTGGGTGCCTGTCTGCATGTTTGTATATACTGTACTGTATATATGTGTGTGCATATATCTAGGTGCATGTTTGTATATAGTGCTGTACTATACTTCTATATGTATATATGTGTGAGCATATATCTGGATACATGTCTTCATGTATATATGTGCATCTTTATGTCTGGATTTTCAGTGCCTAGATATTTTCTGACGTAAGATACAAACACAATACAGTAAGTACAGTATATTGAACTTAAGTAAGATAAGGAGGGAAAAATTCTGAGGTGATATAAATAACACATATTGAAAGTAGGAAAAATTATGATGACGTACTGTGCAGAACAAAGTACAGTATTATGATGCATTAGTCAGTGTAACACCTTAGCAATGTGTACCTGCATCATTAGATTAATGATACACTATCACTGATACCTGTTCTGTATCAACATAATGAAATTTAGAAATAAACCCAACTGAGTATTAAGTTTGCAGTACATAATAAGTGACATTCAAAATTTATTACCTAAAAAAACTCTTTTTATCTATATTTTTATAATTTTAAGATGATATTTTTGTAAACAAAGAATTTTTTCCAGTTCACCACTGGGTGACCCCAACATTACTGTGAAAACTTACAAGTATACTGTGTGCATATAAGAAACTAGTATAAAGTAAACTGCCTAATATTATGTACAATATTGCTGATATTTTGATTGTGTGTCAGAATACTGTCATTCACCACAACATTATCCGTGGTCAAGTGGACCATATCTCAGGACACACCACACTCGGCTGGTCGTCTCAATTCAATTTCAATTGTTTATTCCTTGATAGAGGAAGCGGGATCCTAGTGCTGTCACTAGGTACCCCTGTACAATAACACCAGAAGCATCTGGCAAGTGTGACAAGTATATGCAGTATAAATAGGCCTGGTCGTCTCTGGCTCACACACCTAACACACTTAACTGGCATGTTAAGTTGACTTCCTAATCTACTTCACATCTTTTATTTAAATATAAAACAATATGTTTATTAATGTATAAACTTAGAGCTTTTGTTTACATAATTTATAAACATGTCAATTTTATATAATTTATAAACATATCCTTTTAATTTAACTTATTAACTTGAGCTTTTTGTTTATACAACTTATAAACTGTTTTTTGCCTTTTGCCTATACAATATAATTCATAAATTACGCCTTTAAAATTATCTTCCCAACAGACTGTAAAGGAAGTTTATTTCCTTGTTGTGAAGGAAGGACAGACAATTTTCAACCATTTATCTAAGTTATTCTCTGCTCACGCGGACTGGCGCTGACAGTGATGTAAAATTTACGAATTACCATGTAATAATCTTTCCTGAATTTGGGTATTGATATCGGCAGATGTGAGTATGTGTCCTCAATATGGCATCTTAGGTGTATTAGTAGCTGTGTCTATAATAGTGATGGTAATTCTCAATACTTTACTACAGAGTTAAAAAGTCTTTGTTAACTAGTATTTTCAGCATCAATGTGTTATTTTCAGCCCAGATGCTTGCGTCAACACTGACTAGTTCCTTACTAAACAAGGGAAGTAGCATAACGGCATATCTTTATCTCACTGATCTGGTTTGCTCACAATAGGAGTTTGGCAAATGTGCAGGAAGGCAAACATGTGTGCCCCTGACAGTGCTTCTTGCAGACTGTACAGTCGTCGTGCTCTTCCACAGCAAACATTACACCATCCTTCACCAACCACTAGTACTGTATAGCCTGTCAAAATACAATCACAACTCTGGTGCTGTAAGTATTAATCTCACAAGAAAATACTACATACAAAGTTGTTCAAACTCGACTTCTGATGATACAAAATCTATCTGGGTAATTTTTTTTTGTAGTGCTAATCTACTTTATTTTCCATCTGGCCGTCATCAGCACTGACTTTATACTGTATATTAATAACAAGGTATCCCTCCTTTGGGTTCTAAACGACCGTGTTAAGAACTGATAATGATTTTGATTTTACGAACTCTAAAAAATACACACTAATTAACTTATGGTTTTGTGATTGTGACTCACCATCAAATAAATTTCCGGCTACTTTACAATACTTTAGATTTTAATTGAAACTTTAAGAAAACTGTCAACACACTCATTCAGATCCTAAAGAGCATACGAACTCTGAGAAACAAAAGATTATAACAAAATAACGTATAACCGTTCCTGTTTAACCACATCAAAACGTCTAAATAAACAAGACTACAACAACGGAAGCTCATGAGCAGTGTAACCAGATCCTGCGAGTGAGTGAAGTAAACAAGTGGTCTAATGCTTGTGATCGACCACCGTTATCTGACCAAGCCACCTAACTTGGCAACTCTGGAACATCAGGTGCGCTTCTTGTTCCAACACTTCTTGCGCGGGAGACCCAGTTTGAGCAAGTGAGTCTCTTCCTCCGCCTCCACCTCCGGGCTCTTGAGGAAGGTGGGCGCTATACACAGTCCCACGATGGTCACAGCTGAGGACAAAAGGGCGTCTTAGTTATACTTCCTATACTTAAGAGAAGGATAACACATGTGGAAGGAAAATTGCATCTAAGAAAAAACGATAGGAAATGTGGAAACGAAGAAAAACATTAAGGAAAAAGCGAGGAATGTTTGGTAACACTTCTGATATCTGCCACGTTAATAAAAAATGAGTAATTAATGAATAAAAACATTAATTTAATGAACGGAGAATTAATTTGGTTTAAATAAGGAGGCAACGACAACGAAAGATAACTATGTTAGTATATAAAACGCACCCCTATAATGACGTCATCTTCAGCACCCCTCAATCCCGGCCTAGGGTCAACATGCCCTAGTGACGTCATCTTCAGTAACACCAATCCCTGCCTAGGGTCAACATGCCCTAGTGACGTCACCTTCAGTAACACCAATCCCTGCCTAGGGTCAACATGCCCTAGTGACGTCATCTTCAGTAACACCAATCCCTGCCTAGGGTCAACATGCCCAGTGACGTCACCTTCAGTAACACCAACTCGCCTAGTCAACATGCCCTAGTGACGTCACCTCAGTAACACCCAACTCCCTGCCTAGGACAACATGCCTTAGTGATGTCATCTTCAGTAACACCAAAACTTGCATTAAACTTACATTTGATTTGCCAATAAAAAAAAAATTAAAAATAAAATGATGATGTATGCAGGTAATACATACACATACTACCTACCTACATACATACATACACAGCTGATGACGTCATATGTACGCCAACATACATACATATAAACACAGCTGACGTCATACGGGCAAAATCTGCTTCTTTTAGACGAGGGTCCGCCCAGTTTTTACGGTGTGCGGGATGTGAACTGAGCTCCCGTGAAACTGAAGGTGAAAGAGGTGAGGGGAGAGGGATGAGAGGTGAGAGGGAAGAAGGGTGCTGAGAGGTGAGAGGGGAAGGTGAGAGAGTGAGGGGAAGAAGGGGTGTGAGAGGAGAGGGAAGAAGGGGATGCTGAGAGGTGAGGGGGAAGAAGGGGTGTTGAGAGGTGAGAGGGAAGGGGATGTTGAGAGGTGAGAGGGAAGAAGGGATGCTGAGAGGTGAGGGGGAAGAAGGGGTGTTGAGAGGTGAGAGGGAAGGTGTTGAGAGGTGAGAGGGAAGAAGGGATGCTGAGAGGTGAGAGGGAGGAAGAGGTGTGGAGGTGAGAGGGAAGAAGGGATGCTGAGAGGTGAGAGGGAAGAAAGGGTGTTGAGAGGGAGAGGGAAGAAGGGGTGTTGAGAGGTGAGGGGAAGAAGGGGTGTTGAGAGGTGAGAGGGAAGAAGGGGGATGCTGAGAGGTGAGGGGGAAGGGGTGTTGAGAGGGAGAGGGAAGGGTGTTGAGAGGTAGAGGAAGAAGGATGCTGAGAGGAGGGAAGAAGGGTGTTGAGAGGTGAGAGGAAGGGGTGTTGAGAGGTGAGAGGAAGAAGGATGCTAAGGTGAGGGAAGAAGGGTGTTGAGAGGTGAGAGGGAAGAAGGGATGCTTGAGAGGTGAGAGGGAAGAAGGGTGTTGAGAGGTGAGAGGGAAGAAGGGGTGTTGAGAGGTGAGGGGAAGAAGGGGTGTTGAGAGGTGAGAGGAAGAAGGGGATGCTGAGAGGTGAGGGAAGAAGGGAAAGGAGGTGAGAGGGAAGGGGTGTTGAGAGGTGAGAGGGAAGGGATGCTGGAGAGGTGAGGAAGAAGGGGTGCTGAGAGGTGAGAGAGGAAGGGGTGTTGAGAGGTGAGAGGGAAGAAGGGATGCTGAGAGGTGAGGGGAAGAAGGGGTGTTGAGGAGGTGAGAGGAAGAAGGGTGTTGAGGAGGTGAGAGGGAAGAAGGGATGCTGAGAGGTGAGGGGGAAGGGGTGTTGAGAGGTGAGAGGAAGGGGTGTTGAGAGGTGAGAGGGAAGAAGGGATGCTGAGAGGTGAGGGGAAGAAGGGGTGTTGAGAGGTGAGAGGGAAGAAGGGGTGTTGAGAGGTGAGAGGGAAGAAGGATGCTGAGAGGTGAGGGGAAGAAGGGTGTTGAGAGGTGAGAGGGAAGAAGGGGTGTTGAGAGGTGAGAGGGAAGAAGGGATGCGAGAGAGGAGAGGAAGAAGGGGTGTTGAGAGGTGAGAGGAAGAAGGGATGCTATGAGGAGGGGAAGAAGGGGTGTTGAGAGGTGAGAGGGAAGAAGGGATGCTGAGAGGTGAGAGGGAAGAAGGGGTGTTGAGAGGTGAGAGGGAAGAAGGGATGCTGAGAGGTGAGGGGAAGAAGGGGTGTTGAGAGGTGAGAGGGAAGAAGGGATGCTGAGAGAGGTGAGAGGGAAGAAGGGGTGCTTGAGAGGTGAGAGGGAAGAAGGGATGCTGAGAGGTGAGGGGAAGAGGGGGTGTTGAGAGGTGAGAGGGAAGAAGGGATGCTGAGAGGTGAGAGGGAAGAAGGGGTGTTGAGAGGTGTGAGAGGGAAGAAGGGATGCTGAGAGGTGAGGGGAAGAAGGGGTGTTGAGAGGTGAGAGGGAAGAAGGGGTGTTGAGAGGTGAGAGGGAAGAAGGGATGCTGAGGTGAGAGGGAAGAAGGGATGCTGAGAGGTGAGAGGAAGAAGGGATGCTGAGAGGTGAGGGAAGAAGGATGCTGAGAGGTGAGAGGGAAGAAGGGGTGCTGAGAGGTGAGAGGAAGAAGGGTGTTGAGAGGTGAGAGGGAAGAAGGGATGCTGAGAGGTGAGGGAAGAAGGGGTGCTGAGAGGTGAGAGGAAGAAGGGATGCTGAGAGGTGAGAGGGAAGAAGGGTGTTGAGAGGTGAGAGGGGAAGAAGGGATGCTGGAGAGTGAGGGGAAGAAGGGGTGTTGAGAGGTGAGAGGAAGAAGGGTGTTGAGAGGAGAGGGAAGAAGGGATGGAGAGGGAGAGGGAAGAAGAGGATTAGATGAGAGGGAAAAGAAGGGGAATAGAGGTAAGAGGAGAAGAGAGGGTAATGAGAGGTGAGGCCAGAGAGAGAGAGAGAGAGAGGGATAAAACATGGGAAGACCAAAGGAGGAGATGGGTAGATTTTTTCACCTTTCACACCTCTCACCGCCCTAAGAGAGCCTCCGATCGACCCTCTCCTCCCTCCTCCTCACTCCGGTCTTCTTCTTCTTCTTCTTCTTCTCTTCTTCTTCTTCCGGGTATTCCTCTTCCTGCCTCTTCTTCTTTTCGTTATCTTCCTCTTCCTCCTCCTGCTCTTCTTCTTCTATGTTATCTTCCTCTTCCTACTCCTGCTCTTCTTCTTGTTGCTTCCTCTTCCTATTCTTCTTCGTTATCTTCCTCTTCCTCTTCATACTCTTCTTCGTTATCTTCCTCTTCCTCCTCCTGCTCTTCTTCTTCTTCTTTATTCTCTTCCTCCTCCTGCTCTTCTTCCTCTTCCGACACCCAGAGTCTACTCAGAGGGTTGTCATCGTACTGAAGGGCTTTAGTCATCGTACTCAAGAGGTTGTTATCGTACTCATGGGATTACGTCATCGTACTCGGGTGGTTGTCATCGTACTGAAGGGCTTAGACTCCACCAAGGAGAAAATATTCCTCTAGCTGTCTATTGCAGAACCGTGCCAAGCCAAGGGTCGTAGGGGCGTTTTGGTTCTGGTATTTAAAGGTGAAGTACGCCTTAAAGGTGACTGCTGGCGCCATTTCCATACCTAATTCACCCTACACCCAAACCTAGACGACAAATTCCTACACCTACACTTATGACGTCAAATTCCTACACTTATGACGTCATATTCCTACACCTATGACGTCAAAAGCTATGAAATTAAATTCTTGAAGTTATAATAAGTTCTCAAAGTTATGACAACAAGTTCTTAAAGTTATGACAACAAGTTCTTAAAGTTATGACAAGTTCTTAAAGTTATGACAACAAGTTCTTAAAGTTATGACAACAAGTTTTAAAGTTACGACAACAAGTTCTTAAAGTTATGACAACAAGTTCTCAAAGTTATGACAACAAGTTCTTTAAGTTTAAAATTAATATATACGGATTAGGAAATCTAAAAAAAAATATGAAAAACTCCGATGATTAGAAGTAAGCTGCATACAGAGAGGAAGATAAAAGAGGAGAAATGAAAGGAGGGAGAAAACAAGAGGAGGGACATGAAAGGAGGAGAGAGAGGGAGAGAGAGAGAGAGAGAGAGACGAGGAGGAGGAAGAGAAATGAAGAGGAGAGAAAAAAAAGGAGAGAGAGACTTTGCAACACCCCTCCCATCAAAACAGGTAACAATAACAGCCCATTTTTCCCTCAACTGGGACTTGGTCACAATTTTCGTGATGCCATATAGCAGCAGGGTCTACCATTAGAATACTTGCTTCCAATATCTTTCCAGGCGGTAGTACCTCCCTGTTTGGTAGCTGTCTAATAATAATAATAATAATTAACGGTTTATTGAAAGAGCTTGGCAGCCAGAAAGCTGAAAATATACAGTTACATATTTGGGGAATGGGTTTCGAATTACAAATAATATACAAGTAAATAAGTGACACAAATAAGACATATAATAACTAGATGGGGAAAAGCTCAAACTACAGTTCATTTCAACATAGTGACAGTGGAAGGAGTAGTGTTTACTGGGAGGAATACACTGGTTTATTACAAGTTATTGATAATTTTACAATGGTTGGGACTGGGCTGTTCTTATAGCGATCAGTTCGTGCACGTATGGGCTGGATGCGGTTGTGGTGTCGAACAGCAATTCTCGGACTAGGATCTCAGGTGGTAGTAGGACCGTGTGGAGGATGGTGTAAAAGCTTCTACCAAATTTGCAGATGCGGTCGTGGTGATGGTCAGTGAGGTCGAAAGGGTCAGTGTGTTGAGCGCTTCTTGATATGTGGTTGTTGGTTTAGAATATCTGGCCACTTCGCCTTTCGCTATTTCGGCCGGAGCTGCTGTCTTTTTTGTTCTTCTGAGTCATTCTTGAGGGGTTTTTATTCTTGGTCAACATTCTTGCACTTTATTACTTTGATGGCCTTCTGTCTCCTTTTTCTTGTTGTTGTTGTTTTGGTTTTGGACGGGTTA